CACATACTCTCTTACTTGTTTGAACATCACAACCCGTTTTGAGGTTTCGAATTCATGTAAGATTCCTATCCAGGTGTCCTTAAATTTCCTTAAATGATGGAGAGTCCCATAAGCGATTTAACTTACTTACTCACTCTCTTACTTCTTTGACCATCACAACCCGTTTTGAAATTTTGAATTCATGTAAGATTCCTATCCAGGTGTCTTTGTGGTATGTGTGCTTCTACAATATCGCAGCGTAAACGCGATTAGTGCTTCTTCAACTTGATCGGAAACACTGTCTTTCCCTACGTTTTCTTTCTCTGAATGCCACTGCAAATATCCTTTGTGCTACTTTACTGATTTTTACGAGAGGACCATGACAGCAATGTTATTGGTGTATACGCATTTGTTATAGTGCAAAACCGCTTATATCGTCCAGAGGATAACCTTGTAGTTAGTATAGCAGATTGAATGTACTACCAACAAGATCTCATCTTTTCACCAATATGTGTGCTGTGATATAGGTTAGAAATATGATAAATGAGGTGAATATGTACTTGCGTAGATGTCATAAATAATAAAACTACAGCGTATGTTCTACTTTAAGACAAAAGCCTCGAACCTCCAGATATCGTGAATGCAGTTTCAGGACTTAAAAGCAACTAAAGTCTGGACTCCGAAAATGTGCTGTAAAAAATTTCTAGAAAATGCTTGATGGCTATGCCTCAGAAATAAAACTATAAGTACAAATTAAAAAACTACAAAAACTACATGCCATCGAATAGCTTACGACTAACTAGATGATACTAGTCTTTTATTTGCTGTGCTAAGCTTTCGAGTTCTAAACACTGCACTGATTACAGAAAGCTGATCTACAGCCAGATAATCAGATCACCACTACTCTATGGGTGTGTCGCATATAGCAATGCTGCTAACTCTACTATCCAGAAGCTGTAAGTTGCTCAAAGTCAGGCTCTCTTCAAAGTGCCAAGGTACATCCACATGCTAAGAGACCTTAGAATAAAAAAATAATATATTGGACAGAACCCTGAAGATATTCGCAAGTGTTTTAAGCTAAAACTAAAACCAAAGAGTATATTCTTTAATTTTAGACTCTAAAAATCATCCGACTAAAAAATTTGAGTTACGTATAGGGTAAAAATTTCTTGACAACCACAAGATACGAATAGATAAGATAAACGAGCGTTTATATCCTTACAAATTTCGCAATATTTGGAAACCTAATGTCTTAAAAAAGGCTAATATATTCCTTTTTATTCAGTTTTTGACTTATTAATCTAGTCACCCACAAAAAATTTTCTGGGAAAAATACAGAGAGTGTCCCTAATATAATAACACCAAAAGATTGTTTTGGCTGGCCGCCTTTATGGTTAAAAAGTAAAAGTTTTCAAAAATTATGATAAGAATATTTACGAAAGGATATGGAAGCAACCATAAAACGTAATAATAATAACAAAAAATTTGGAAAAGGAAAACGCAGGATACCGAAGCCGATGATAAGAATGTTTCGGAGGCGTTGAAAAGGCAAAATAAAGAAAAACAAAAACTAAGGTGACATAAAAATGAACAACCGCTCACAAGTATCAAGTCAGTGAAAAGTTCCTTGAAAAGGGGAGCATTTTGCGTTTTTAAGGATGTCATAATAAGCTCCATTAACCAACAAAAAAAAACAAAAACAAACAACAAACAAGAAGAAAAAACCCTTGGCAAAAGACAACGCAACAGGAAGGTCTGTAAATAATGCGGCAATCCCAAATATTAACTTGAGTCTCATTGTGTGAAGTCATTTGTTTGCTCCTTGCTACCGACTTAAGAAGGCAAAAAAGTCCTTTAGAAAAAGTTGAGAGAAGATTTATGAGATTTTTTGATTTCGTAAGTTTGTTCAGCTTTTTTTTTCGTTTTACATTTTTTATTCAATTTACAGTTTTGGAGTGGCTTTTAGAACATTTCAATGCTGTGTAAGCTCATTATTCCATTTAAGTGTTGATTATTTTCATCACCACAGTTACTTGCCCCTCAGCACATACGATTTTCTAGAATTTCTTTTATAGAAAACTGTTCCGGCGTGCGATTTAATTAACTTGCAACTCTTTTACGAAGGATTCTTTTGTCAATTTCAAATGTTGCCGACGCCTTCTTTTCAATTGTTTGCAATTAAACGCTTTTATCTGAGCAAACAAAACGTTAATCATTTCTACACATCGGCTTACACATGTCCTCCCTGATAGCAACAATGCTAAGGAAAACTCGGAAAACTTTAGAAAACTCCATCCATGTTACTCAATACAGTGCAGTGAAAGAAATCCACACGTTTCAGAATTTTTCCATATGAAAAAGGTTTTCGCATTTTTCAGTCTTGTGTTTTCCTTCAGCAAATATTTACGCACCGCGAACTGAAGTTGAAGAAGTTCATTGTTTTAGATTTATTGCCAGGGTGTCCCCTTCCACTCCTACTCCTAACCGTTGGAATATATTTGTTGTTTTGTTTGCTACTCTTAAGTGACTTAAAAATAATGTAAACGATTATGCGGCGTTGATTGTCATTAGCAACTACTCAATCTTTTGGGGTTAAGGGGAAAGGTGAAACTTTTAATTTAATTTAGTTTTTAAAATGTTTTGAAAATTCATAATGAATTTTAATTTAAAGTTGAAAATTGAAACTACTTTAATAATTGAATGCAAATATAATAAGAATAATAATATTATTCTTATTATATGGTAAATATATATTAGATATATCTAGATATGTATTAATTCCCCTTTCATGGATCAAGAAAATTTCTTCAAATCCGATTCTCACAATAAATTGTAGTATTAAACATACTTTACCCTTATATTCTTATTAGATATAAGTTCCATATCTAGGTACTTCTTTGATATATGTATTAATGTCTAGCTAACTCTGGCACACATAGTTTAAAGTCTCATTCTCTTCCCAACTAAACCTGCAGAATAGAAGTAAGTTTTCAATGCCCTGTCATTATTTTAATAAAAAAAATATGATATCTGTCATTATAAATAATAAGTTCGAATATTTAATGAGTTAAAGGGAATAACGTAATACATGTATCAAGCGAAGGTGATGAATGAGGCATTTGTGTTATGGTAAACTTACGGAAGAGAAAAAATTATTCTATAGTTAACATTAAAAATTTATTATTTATTTATTATTAATTAACTATAACAGTGAAAACTATTGCAAAACTCAGATTGGAAAGTGAAAATGACTTGTCTTAAAATGTTTATTAATTTTTCTTCTAAAATAAAATCATGAAAAATGTCAAACTAATTAAAAAAAAAATTTTTATATTTTTTAACGATTAATATGTAAATTTCATTGCAATGGAAAGAATAAAATTTTAAGTTTTCTTGTATTTAAAAATGTTTAAGCCGACATCTATTAAGGAAGCTATCTCATTATGGCAACTAAAAAATAGTATACCAGCCTCGGAGGCTCATGAAGTCGGTTTACAATTTCAATGGCCGCCCATTGAAAAAATGGACTCTAGTTTGGCTCGATTAGTCGAATGTCGCAAGCTAAGTCTCTCAACCAATTTGATTGATAGAATTTCGGGTCTCGGTACCCTTAAGAACTTAAAAGTTCTAGAGCTCTCTCGTAATAAAATCGGAACCCTAATTGGAATTGTAACTAAAAATTTTTTTTTTTAATTTTCACATATTATTTTATTGTATATACGCCGCAGGAAGTCTTGGAAAATACTTTGGAAGAATTGATTGTCAGCTACAATTATATTGAAAAACTGCATCCAATTGACACAATGAAAGCTTTGAAAGTATTTAACGTATCAAATAATCTCGTTAAAGATTGGGTAGACTTTAACCTGATGGCCACAATAAAATTGGAGTCTTTGTCGTTTCTTGGCAATCCATTGCAGGAAAGGTTTGCTGATGATGGACTCGTATATAAAATGGAGGTGAGAAAACGATTACCAAACCTAAAATATTTAGATGGTGATCAGTTGAAAAAAAATAGTAACATTTAGCTTGTGTATAGAATTAACGTATTTTACGACATTAATAAATTTACTTAAGGTCATTTAACACATTGTTTTTATTTACTTATTGATGACATGCATGACGTTTTGCTTTTAATATTGTTTTCCATCTAGAATGGGAATGTGTTTTGAACGATCAATGCCTGGATCGAAGGGGAAAACTGCTGGCGATTATGACAGATTATTGGCTGGTAGGTGGCTATGTTAGGTAATCGAATAGCTATGTTGAAATTACTAAGAGGAAGAAAAAAATATGAATTGAAAACTTCCAGTGGGAATGTCTAACTAAAGAATTTTTCTTGTACTTTTTTAGTGCTACTAACTAGCAGTTTTTTCTCGTTTAATTTTATTTTTTAAAATTTATCCATTTTTTCATTGCTGTTAGTTTCGTCTTTGTTGTTTGTTCTTTTCTTTTTTGTTTTTACTGCATCCGTTTAGTACTTTAGCCGTTGTTTATTTTGTTGTCTATAATATTTATATTTATTAGTTATAAGTTTAGCACTGAGGGCATGTGTGACTGAAGCGAGTACTTTTGGATTTGAGAAAAGGATTACACCATGCTACCAACTCCGTGGATCATTGTGCTGAAAACCTAAAAGTGAAAGAGATTAAAAGTTTCAAATTTGAGGAAAGGATAACTATGGTACTGCCTCTATGGTTCATTATTCCTAAAACCTAAGAGTGAAATAAATTAAAAGTGTTAAGAAAGCAAAATGGGATATCATTAAAATGAAAGCAATGGAGTTTGTTTGTTTCCTAAATGAATCATAAAATTTCAAATAGAGAGAAAGAGACAGAGAGAGAGAAATAAAGTAAGATTGCAATTGTAAGGAGCAGGGAGAGGATAAGAAAGAGACAAAACAAGAAAAAGGGAGAAAGAGCATGAGCAATATGAGGTTTTTGCTTGGTAATTGATTGGAATTAAATTATAATAACTGCATTTTAAAACTACATTGAAGACGTTTACATTTTAATATTCATAAGTGACTAACAATATTTATAAGTGAACTTACTCTGTGCTGAGATTAGTTTCAATGACTGACTCAATAATTTTAATGAACAGAGTTGTAAAGTTTTTTAAAAGTTTAAAAAGAATACAGGCATTTACGGTTGTGACTTTTAATAATCTCTGGAGAACAGTTTTAAAATAAATATTCCTGTGATTTCTTTATCTGTGAAACACATGGTACATCCACACGAATGACATGCTAAGAGACCTTAGAATAGATCGGTCAAAAAATAAATAAGGGACGGAGCCCTGAAGCTATATGCGAAAATCGACAGGCTGCTCTACTTAGCAGTAACTAATTTCAGAATAATTTCTAGCTACACGGGGGTACGCAGATCTTAGATTAATCATCGAATAATCACGTAGCTTTTGAGGAACACATAAATTAGTCAGTGAGATGGCTGGGCCTCTGCAAAATTCCCCCAGCTATCACAGAGTAAAAGTGCACAGATGCACTAACTCGGAAAATACTTAACATAACATTTTCTTAAACATCAACTTTCTTTAACACAAAATTGTTTAATATTTTATTAATTAATTTGCTAGTTCCATTCAAAGTTGGTGGAAGAATTAGTTTGTTTACGATGGCAACTAGAAAAATGTTTTGAAGCTTAAACTACAAATCAGAGGCCGTCGATCGATAGTTCTAATTAAACTGCCTGTGAAACTCAAATAAACTCGAATCGGCTTATGTGAACGTATTTAACTGGAAACCATATACAGTAACGCGTGGCTATAAATGGGGTTGCCTAGGCGTATACGTGACATTTTTAGAATAGCAGCGCTGAAAATTACTGCGATGAATATTTTGCGCCCGCATAATTTACGGTAGGCGCTTTTAATAAATTTCTACATGCGAATTATAGTAGCACTGCAAGCGGAATACCAAATGCGAATATATGTCCCGGGAAGTGAAGTGCAAAAATTCTGCATTGCACATGCGAAACGGAAATGAAAATATTTTGCAAACTTCCGTTAATGAATAAAATGAAATATTCGCATAAATGCGTGCCTTATAAAGTCCAAACTGCAGTTACTGAAGTAAAATATTAAAATTTATTTTAATTTAAATTAGTTTTGCTTTGCAAAGGTGTTTAATAATGGAATTTTATATAGCAATATGAACATTTGCTTTAAAAACTAAATAATATTATCTTGTATATTGAAACTATTTATTACTTTATATAATATAATAGGCGTAATATATGTAAATATAATAATTATTCAAAAACAAAAAAAATCCATTTAAATCACATTTTAAAATGAGTAATTGAGAGGGTTTCAGTGATCCTTGAAATCGTGTTGGAATAACACAAAAATCTGTGCGAAAACTATTTTATTCACAATTGCATTCAGCATTCACTAGCAAAAAGTATCTCAAAAGGCAAAAATAATCCATAAAATGTTTTGTCAAAATTTTTACACACGGACTTTGCTGGTTCATCACAGCAACTCCGAGCTCTCGATTTGCGGAGCTAGACAGGCGCCAGGATAGGACATGCAATTCAATTCAATTCAGTTTAGTTTGATTCAATTTCATTGAGTTTGGTATTCGTGTTGTTTGGTTCCATTTTATTTGCCTTGTTTTCGGCAATAAATGAAAAATCCTGAACAGGATTGATGCGACATGACCATGGCGGACGTTTATAATTAAATGCTGTGAATGGATTCGTGTTGACGACTCTGCGGGCTTTATTGAGGCTTTGGTTTTGTGGTATTACCACAGCGGATGTGGTAAATTTGCATAAGGGAAAAATTTATCTTTTTGTGATTTTGGAAAATTTGAAAAGGAAAACAAAGTAAAAGATGGAAAAAAACTAGCACAAAATTCTGATTAGGCACTAAAGAAGAATGTATTCAACTCTTTGAAATTTTTAGTATTTTTTCATTAAAAACATAGACGAGAAATATGTCAATTTAATTAAAAAAATATTTGATAATATTACAAAATTTTATAGGCTCTTAAAATTTTCATCGATGCACAAATTACAAATTTAAGCTTTCCTGCTAATTAAAATGTTTAGGCCAACATCGGTGAAAACAGCCATCACTGCATGGGAATTAAAAAATAATATACCTGCCGCGCAGGCTGTTGAAATGGGCTTACAATTTCAATGGCCGCCCATTGAAAGAATGGACGCCAGTTTGGCTGAATTAGTCAAATGTCGCAAACTTAGTCTCTCGACCAATATGATTGATAGGATTACGGGTATCAATAGCCTTACAAATTTAAAAATTCTGAAACTTTCCCGTAATAAAATCAGAAGTCTTAATGGGATTGTAAGTAAACTTTTTGTTGTATTTACCATATGACCAATTATGACCATATATTATGTTGTTGTATGTCCGTGACAGGAATTCTTAGCATATACTTTGGAAGAGTTGTCGGTCAGCTATAATTACATAGAACAACTGAAACCAATTGACACAATGAAAGCTCTGAAAGTATTCCACGTTGCAAATAATCTCGTTAGTGATTGGACAAACTTTGATCTTATGGCCGCGCCACCTTTGGAGTTCATGTCATTTCTTGGCAATCCATTAGAGGAAAGCCTGTCAGATGAAATATATAAAGCTGAAGTGAAGAAGCGTTTACCAAATTTAAAGTATTTAGATGGTGATCCGATTGTATGATAAACGTTAATCAATCTGATATGAGCAGCTTAATATTTTAAACAGTATAAATCATTTATATCAAGTCTTCAACTTTAAAATGAAAAAGTCTCTAGAACTAAAGCAGAAAATACATAGGACTAACATTGTGCTAAAAAAAATATTTGAGTGTATTGTAGAAATTTTGAAAAAATATTGTGGAATCAAAATTCATTAAAACCCTTTAAAGTTAATCAATTTTCTTTTTTTTAATTATTTTATAAATAAATGAATAAAATACACTTTTCTTCTGAAATTCATAAGCAAAAAATATCACCTCTTCGTACTCTTTCTGCTTTACTAATTTCTTAAGACCACCATTGGAAAGGTCTGCTATTTGTAACTTTCAATTAGGTTTCATAGTATCTTCAGAAACCTACTGTATATGTTGCGCTAACTAGTTGGATTATTTTGTTGATACCTGTAAAGGGTTCTCTTGCATCAATATTCAACTAATCATTTTTTAATTCCTATCACAAGCGTTGCGACATTCCAGAGAAAATTGATATTGTCTACAACACCTACAAAACCATTGGATCTCCGAACATTACCAATATATTGTCTATGTTCTTTTTCGCGTTTAACACTCCAAGTAGAAGATTTTTGTTGGAAATGACTTGTGACGTGCAAGCCAAATAGGTAACATTGACCTCATCACAAATGGAAGTGAAATCTGAAGAAATAAGGATGTCTCTATATTGACTGCAGTTAATTATTAGCTTTTGACTTCTAGAACAATAGGGGCTAACTGGACTTATGGTTTAAGTCAACACTTAAACCCACCAAACTAGGAAATCTTTTATTTTCAATTAAGGAAGGAGTTTACATAAATACCATTAGTCATATCATTATCTCATAGCGTTACTGCTATAGGCGTAAATTGAGATAGATACATTTATTTACTACATTATTTAAGCTTTCTCGGCTTTGTGAAGACTTTAAGCTATTTTTATTTAAAACTTTTATAAATCAGCTTTGTTACTATCAATCCAC